GGCCAATGGTATCTTGGGGTACATCAGGAAGACAGTGGTCGGCAGGTCGAGGGAGGTTCTCCTCTCCCTCTACTCTGTCCTGCTGAGGCCACATCTGGAGTGCTGTGTCCTGTTCTGGGCTCCCCAGTTCAAGAAAGACAAGGAACTACTGGAGAGAGTCCAGTGGAGGGCAACAAAGATGATGAGGGGACTGGAGCATTTCCCTTATGAGGAAAGGCTGAGAGACCTGGGTCTGTTCAGCCTGGAGAAGACAAGACTGAGAGGAGATCTCATCAATACTTACAAATACCTTAAGGGTGGATGTCAAAAGGATGGGGTCAGACTCTTTTCAGTGGTGCCCTGCGACAGGTTAAGGGGCAACGGCCACAAACTGAAACATAGGAAGTTCCACCTGAACATGAGGAAGTACTTCTGTACTTTGAGGGTGTCAGAGCACTGGAACAGGCTCCCCAGAGAGATGGTGGAGTCTCCTTCTCTGGAGATAGTCAAAATCCACCTGGACACGTTCCTGTGTAACTTTCTGTAGGTGAACCTACTTTGGCAGGGGGTTGGACTAGATGATTTCCAAAGGTCCCTTCCAACCTCGACAATTCTGTGATTTTGTGATTCTGTGAATACATTTAAGCTAGAAATCACCAGTTCCTAACCATAAGATGGAGCTCAGTGCACTTATGAAAGAGATTAAGAGCCACCATGTGACTGATTGAGTATCCTACTGCCAGCCTTATACTCCTATCATCTTCAAAAACCTATTGCTTCCAGTAATATTCTGAAGGAAAAAAACCCCTTCCTTCCCTAAAGTGGAAATTTCTTTCTAGTAAACGTGCTTCCTATTACAAATGCTACAAAATCCATGTTGCAGATTGCAAAAATAGTCTGTCAATGTTCACTTTTTCTTACAAGTTTCAGAACATTCAATGTATGGAACCTATTGGAGCACTGCCTTTCCCATGATACTAACTACCTGGCCAGTTCTTTGGACTGCACGAAAGACAAACCTGGCTAAGATGCAGCAAACAAGCCATGATAAGTGTTCATTAAAAATAAAAAATAAAAATCCATCTGTTTTTCTCTGCAATTGGAACAGATGACGTCTTCACTGCTTCTACAACATTGCCTTTCCTCTTGGTTGTGACATATAAGTGTAATCAATGTTGAAATGAAAAACTTGCAGGCATGCAAAATTTAGATATCAGGATTCAACTGCAACGGAGTTACCAGCAGGTTATTACATGAAAGCAAGGAATCCGCTATCCCTGATAGAATACATACTACTGCCTCATTTACTTACTGGCATACACTGAGCTAGAAAGAATTGCTGTCACTATCGTTAAACAACTAATATGATTTTCTGAAATTATGTTCTTAAACTAAAGAAAAATGTCAAACCCAGTATTTTCAGAAAGTATACAGAAGCAGGAACCTGCTAGTGGGGAAATAGCCAGCAACAGCAACAGCTTGTCACAAAGTCTTTCAGCAAAAGTATGAAATAAGCATGTAAGCACTGCTTACACAACACAGGCAAAAATATTCTGCTTGTGAAACTATGAAAAAAGCATTTTACAGGTTGTGACTGGCAACTGATTGACAAGTTCCAAAATTCATTATAAGTCTGAAACATTCTAAAAAAATGAATACATAATGTTTGTCAGAAAGATGTATAAAGAGTTTAGAAGTTTCAAATCTCTAACTCTTTATAAGAGCTAAACACAGTCCAAGCCATGTTCATGACAGCTCACTAATAAACTCTGAGGAATACATATTTTTAAACCCACTTTTCATTTTTCGTTTGAAATGAATGTGTATAGTCACTTGGAAAGACAAGTTTTTGATTGCTACCACTAATCACATATTTTGTCATTTCACTGACAACTAAAATTGATTATTTAATTAAGAATTGACAATCAAACAAAACCTGGAAAATTCTGAGTCTTTTCACAGGTTGATACTTAGATCAACTTTTAATCGAGTTTGCTTTATTTGTCTTTAAATGCATGAATCTTCTGTTATGAACTTTTTATTAGCTATTTCAACTTAATATAATCTGAAGTGAGAAAAATATTGCATTGCAAACCATCTGTATTTACAGCACTCATGGATGGCAATTTTCTGCTATTGTCAACATAAATTTTCATCTCCCAGAGTAACAAATTCAATACAATACCAGCACAATTCTGACTGCCATGATGTTTAATCACAATGCCATACCTCGAGCGTGTCTTCATGGTTGACAATTGTTTTTGTGTTCTGCAAGGTTTTAACAAGTGCAGTCATCTGTGAATTAGTGGTGCTGTGCTCAGCTTCTTGTTCAGTAGGCTTCTGCACAGAGCTTTCTGCTGAATATTGCTTTCTCTCATCTGCTTTGTTCTTTATTGAAGCAATTTCTGAAGTCTACAGGATTAAGAACGTTAGCAGAAAAAACATCCAGAAAGGTTTTCAGTAACATATGATATTTAGAGTTAACCTTATATATGTTGGGAAACAAGGGAATGGAAAATCTGAGCTTTGAAATTATTAAATATGAAATGCACCACGTATGAAATGCAGAGAAATCTCTGCAGAATACTGAGGGACAGTCCTTAGCCTTTGTCAATCAGTTTGACTCTCCTCCTTACTGGGGTCAATTTGTACCATTAAATTTCCAGTTAATAAAAAAAAAAGGCCAAGAATATCTACAGTCAGCACCAAACAGTACTCCTATCACCTATCATGTTACATCAATTATATACATACATTGTTTTTATTTGCCCGAGAATCAAGTGAACTGCCTTGTTCTTAATATGAGAGGAAACCAGACATTTATTACAGACTTTAGACAGTGAAGACATAAGTTCTGTTGTTTAATTTGACTTTTTCCCTTGTGAAAGCGTCAGTGGGGAAGGAGAAGAGAATTAAAAGAAATCAATGACGCACTAAATCTTTGGAAGTTCTTGCGAAGTCAGAAGAGAATATTATCTCTAACCTTTACTCCCACATCTTTTACAGAAACTGTCTGGCCTTCTCGTTTTGACTCCTTGGCAGTATCTTCAGTAGATTCCTCATCCTTTAGCCTATGCACAATTGTCTGGACTGTTTTGACCATATTCTTCAGTTCATCAGGATATGGAGTTGGATATCTCTTCAGATTGCCTTCCTGTATAACAAAAAGCAATAACGTTCTACATTTAATTAAACGCCATAATTAAAACATCACCTTTAAAACAGACAATGAATTAGGACAAAACACTGAACAATCCAGGATCTCCACTTCGCTGTTCGAGTCTACCTGCACTGATGGAGACTTAAGTTTATAAAACCCAGCAAGATTATGAATCACTTTCCACCCCGCCCTCCAAATGTGTCCATTGATTGCAAGCAGGAAGAATTATGACAACTGTAATTTACTTAAAGAAAAACCAGGATTAATCATTGTTTCCCCATTATCCTTCTCCATGGCACCACCAGTCAGGTAGTCTCCTAGTTATGCCCTACATTGCCTTACATCAGCTGAGGGTTTTTCCCTTGTGCTCCACTTTAAATCATCTGGCAAAAAGCCAAAAACAAGACCAAAAAACCAAACAAAAAAAAAATCAACCCCAAAATACAGTGTTTCATCCTGTTAGATACTCTTAACTAATAACTGAAGACTTGATTTCTTCAGCAGAGCAAAATCCACAGCCAAAGTAAGGCAAAAGATAGGATTCAGAGGTGGGGATAAGAGGGGGGGAAGCACCAAGTATTCAAAAATAAATTCAATACTAACCCGAGGCGGTGCCTCTCTCTCATCTTTGTCTTCATCACACTCAAATGCCACCTGAGCACGCTGTTTCCGCTGTTCCTCCCACAGAGATGGATTGAAACTTTCATTATCAGATATGAACATAACTAAAAAAACGAAAAGAGAGTCTCATAAGTATAGGATACATTATGGGATATATTTTTTCTCTTGGATGGGACTAGTGGGCCTTTGTATGCATTCTTAAAAGATAAGAGGCTAGCAGCACCATTAACTGAAGACTAGCTGCACTGCCACTGCTTTATGAACTTGGCTGTATTTCCAAAATAGTAAAATCCCTATCTGTAAAGTAAGAAAATTCATACACACAGCCGTACACTAGTTTTAACACTTATACTTGAGAATTTTCAGTAGAACTCTGCTGCAAAGTATTTTTATTCATGTATAAATATGAAAATATATATTTGCGTATACATAAATGTAAATTACACCAATTTATATAGCCTGATTTCAGTGAGGTGGTCTCATTAAGCACATATACGAGCACTCATCTGATTTCATTTAATGAAAATTTAAAAATGAAGAATAAGAATGACTTAGTGACAAAAACTTGCATTATTACTAATCCTGAAAAAAACCTAAAGCATCTAAAACTTAAGGTAAACACATGATTTTTCAGAAGTTATATAAATGACAGGAGCTTTACAAAGTATTTCTTGCTTAATTTTACAACAGATAAAAAAAAAACTTTTGAGTACCCACTGTCTCTTATTCTAGCCTGTCTCCGTGCCTTATGTTACATCAGCCAGGTTCTACTTTAGCATGCCATATAGTCTAATAAATCTGCCACCACCCCCTCAGCAAAAGTATATCCTTCACTAGCAATGCCAAGACTGTTCATATTAACTTCTTCTATACCTGAAATAAAAAAATACTTAATATAGGGCTCAACAAGTGCATTGGAATATTTGTTACTCTGGATTTACTGGGTAAACTTACAATTTTGACACAACTGAAAATATTCTAATAGACTTCACTGTCACCAAAACTGTTCCTGATCAAAAAAAAGAACCTGATAAAGAATTTAAAAAAAAAAAAAAATTTTAAATGCTATCTATCTATCTTTAAACCTTCCATTTGGAATGATCCCTCAGAGGCAGGTATTCTGTCAACTTAAGCCAAACAAGCAGTGCTTTCCTTGTCTATCAAAAGAAACTCTGTCACCTCTGTAAAAAAAAGTTCAAATGGAGAGAACGCTTTCAGGAACAATCTTGAACTTCACTGAATTTCCAAATATTTTATACTTCTCACATTCTATCAGAAGTATTGCAGATGCATTATCTGCACTAGAAGGCACTAAAACTGATGCACAATTTAGTGGTTTTGCTGGTATTTTTGATTACTGCCCTCTCAGTGTACTAGACACTTGTATCATGGAACAGCAAATGTTGCCACTTATCAGTTTTCAATTATTTCCATTGATATGTGCCCCCTCGTCCATTTCTGTTAAAGCAGCACAAGCTTTTTCCTTTTGCCTGCAGGGGAAAGAAAGTGGAAAAATACAGAGATTTAACTCTCCTTTCCCTAACTCCTTATGGGGCTACTCATGGAGTGTTACTTATTTTCCTAACTATTTCACAAGTGTGTAGAAATAACTTTCTGGCAAGGTCTTAATATTTTGGGTCCAACCTTTTATAAAACAGTTCAAACTAAATGTGAGCAATATGCTTTTCTTCTGGACCAATTTTTTTTTCTTTTAAAATAAAACAGAGAATGCTATGTACTTTTCAAAAAATATGTACTCAGTAATGGAGGAAACATTTTGTCTAACATTCTGTTAAAATAGTTTGACGCAGGCACCTGCTAAGGAGAATTTCACTCCAACCATTAAGCTCTGTCAGATTGAAATATGGTGTCACACTGGGAAGTGGCAACATCGCAGAATGTGATCCCACCAGTCCATTCCTCACCTTGCTCACTGAAACAGTTTCACCTACAATTTACCAATACGTAGATCACATTAAGTTACTGTTCTCATTCTTCAGATGTAACTCTTCATCACTTACAAGTTTACTTCAAAGTTGTATATAAGTATTATCTAGCGAAAATTGTATTAGCTGGACAGTCTTCCCATTTTCAAAAGTGAGCATTCTGACAGGGTATTTCAGAAATTCTTACCATCCTCGGTCCTTGGTTGCTGGGGGAACATGTAATTAGTAAGCACTGTTTTCTGTGTGTCAGGGTCAGCTTCTTTTTGAAGAGGGATAAGTGGTTTAGACTAAGAAGCAAATGAAAGAAGGTAATGTTATGAAAATAAATATAAAAAAAGCAAATATTATCTACATATCACAGAGCATACATGTCCCATTACTTTGAAGATACTCTGCCTTCTAGTAAAACTCCTCTGAATAATTTTCACAAAATGAAGTTATTGAAAAGTTCGTCTTTGACGACCACCTTTGACTGAGAACTGAAACTCAGTAACAGCTTTAAGAGAAAAGCAAACACTGGATATTTAAAAAATAACCCAGTTTCTTGCTAGGACTTATTACTATCCCAAAGCAGGCTGACCTGGAATACACAGATATATCTGGCCATTTAAAGCTGCAGTCAATCATATAAAGAGAGAAATTTTGTACTCCATTTTTCATATTGACACCAGATTGAATATCCCCCACGCCTTACAAAAAAGGGCATCGGGTCCCTGAAATTACAGTATTAGCAAAAATGGTTTCATTATACTACATCTGAGGCTAGTGGATTTCTGGCAGCCCTGTACACCTTAATGCTATTGTTGAAACCAGCATAGTACAGACGGCTTCAACACACAGCAAAAATACAAGCCATAGGCACATGAGTTACTGCTCAATAGCTTAAAACTTGGACAGTCACAGAGTTCAAAGGTGTAGCAAGACACCTAGCTCAAAAAAAGACATGCTAAATTTCCCCAATGGCATAGCTGTGGAAGAAACAGCATCCTACACCTTCAAGTACTAGCTTACCAAGCACTAACTCTCCTGTGTAAACAAGCCTGAAGAAGCACAAAACCCCCAAAAAACTAGTATCTGTTAAATCGCATTTCCTAACAGCACAGAACTTTGCTAGAAGTATGAAAGTCTCCAAAGACAGGTAGGCTCATTGTTGTTTATTCCAGGAGAACTGACATAGTAATGTCAAGGAAGTATTGATATACATACACAGTACCAAGTCTCGTTATTTAACAGATGGCTCTGTACTTGCTCATTCAAACACGAATAAAGTCAACAATCATTTATTTGTAATTCTAAGAAAGTTTACCTGATTGTCTGATAGCCACATAGCAGTGAGCTGTTGCAGTTTTGTAAAGGTAAATGGCAAATTCTTCAGTCTGTAAATTATACAACAAGAATTTATGTAAGTACATTTATCAATACTGTTAAGACTATTAAGAAACAATCCTGCATTAGTCTGTAAAAATGTTAAAAAACCCCGCATTTCTGTGCAGTTTAAGAAGCAGCTTAAAGAAAGTGACAATGTAACTTGAATTTAACTCACTTCAGTGACTTGAATACAATTTTAAAGACAAATAACCTGAATTAAGCAAGCTGAATCCTCAGTATTTTATCTTTCAAAATACATGCACGCCAATTTAAAAAAAGTGCTACACCTGAAAATCATTGGTTTTTTTCCAAGACACATATGTGGGAAAGGGGCTGCCCTGGATAATGAAGGCTCTGGCATTTATGGGTAAGTCAAGCTACAGATAGAGTGCAGAGAAGCTAGACTGGCAGAACAGAAGGGAGAGCTCAGTCAGATTTATCTCTCCCAATATATTTCAATTCTACAAATTGGCAATTCCCAAAAGAGAAATGTTTTGTCTGTTTCTCATGACCAGCTCTAACAAAATATAACTTTCTTTTCCTCCTTCTCCAGCACATTCAAGTGTTTTACAATATACTGCGATACTGTTCTGTGTCCTCCATATGCAAGACAGGAGGCTATTAACTTCTAAGTAAGAATCAAAAGTTTTATGAAAATAACCAAACCAAAATTACCCAGAAAAATACAGGCTAACAATCATGAATGTATTGAAGCTGTGCTTCAACACATGTGCCATGTGCCAAGTCATTAAAATAAATACAGCTTAATAGCATGGAACTGCAAAATCCAGAACACAATACATTAAATATATGCATCTCAATCAGCTTCGAAGTTGTGCTTGAGGTAAGGAAAGATAGCATAATATATTTATAACAATACCTCTACATTTTTATTGCATTTTATACAACTTCTACTTGAATAAATGTATTCACAAACCTATTGTCACTCAGATTGATGACTTTTAATTTCTGCATATCACCCATTTCTTCAGGGAGAAATTCAAGCTTATTAGAATGCAGAAACAACACTGTTACATGCTTCCAGTTTCCAATCTGAAAAAAATCCCGAAGAATTACTTCATCTTCGTAACTCTAAATATGCAAATTTTTACTGTTTAAAAACTGTTAGTATTACAGCTATTTTTGCCTGTAAAATGTAATTAGATCTATTCTTACATACTAAACATTCCTTTAGTTTCAATACACTAACAACAAATTTCTACTTCTTGCTCAAAAAATATATAATTTCATTATTTGAAAAATTGTATATTTATATACATCCTCCTTTAAAAACATACACGAAGAAAATCTGCTCAAGAAATATTAACTTATTATCCAGAAGTTGTATAGACTATATAGTTTAACATACATTAAAAAATTCACTTTACAGTTTTGTAATTAAATATATACCTCTGATGGCAGCTGTGATAAAAAGTTATGATCTGCAGCAAATGTCCTTATATTAGAGAGCTGCCCAACAGACGAGGGCAATGTTTCAATCTCATTGAAACTACAGTCCAGTTCTTCTACTGATATTAATCTAAAAAAAAAAATAAATAATATTACTCCTCTATACAGGTTAATTCATCCAACATTAATTGAATATTTTAAATGAAGTTAATATCACTTTTAATTACAAATTTCACATTTAATTCAAAACAAAACTCTGAAACCTAATGGAATTCAAATCCAAGAAAAATCCTTTACTAATTGCCTAAAATGTGTTTTGGGTTTTTTTGTTTGTTTGTGGTTGATTGTGGGTTTTTTAGTTTTGTTTTGTTTTTAAATCTCCTTTACACTGTCCTCAAAAGAGAGCATTCAGTGAAAACAGGGAGGGCAGCAACATCAAACGTTTATGTACTACAAGAAAATGTGCTAGTGCAAGGCATTAAGAACATTCAGAATGGGATAGATCATAGCCAAACAGGAGTTCAGTGCAGTTTCTGAACAAGAAAAGATTTTCAAGAGTTAGAGACAGTGAATCTAAGAACCTGGCAGCAAAGAAGTATTTTGTAAATTCTAGTAACAAAAGAAAACCTACATTAATTGTAATAAGAGAAAATAAATTGTAACAAATACCCTTCATTTTTATAGCACTTAATTATGAAACAATTATTTTTGCTGTCACTTCTGAGTTTTAAATTAAATTGATGAACACCAAATTATACATTAAAAAAACCTGCTGATAACAGGTGAAAATTCTCCTTATAATATAAAAAAGACAAATGTGTGTTTTCAGATTCACTTTTTACATGCTTTTTGATAGTCATTCAATCATTTGCAATATTTACCACAGCTATGTTACTGTCAAAAACCTGCTTCAGGCAGCTGACTGCCTTTTTAAACATCTCGTTTTCTTTCCCATTCTATTTTTCTTTTGTAGACTGGTGGCTGCATTAATAAGTGAGCAACATATGTCTTTTGATATTAAATAATACGTAAAGAACATACATGCTGCAAACTAGAAGTAAGATATGAAAGCACTTGTCTTCAATTTTATTAAGACACTAACATGTAAAAGGAATTAAATCAAGTAGGTGTAAAAACATTCAAAGCGGAAAACATTGTTACAGAAAATCTGCAGAAAAGCAATTTAACCTTTTATTCAGGTGAAATACCTACCCTCCTATGGAGTCTGGCAAATAAATTAACTGGTTTTCATCAATTTTAAGCGTTGTTACCTTCTTCAGGGAACCTGTAATAAAAAGAGCAAGTAAATCAAAAAGGACATTTGAGTTCATTAAGCTTAATTTTAAGTTAAGAGGGGAAAAAAACCCATGAGCAAGCGACCACATCTGTATTCCCTGGCATACCTACAGTGTTATGTACCCAAGAAAATAAGCAGACGAGCTTACAGAAACTTGTTTGCCAGCTTACCATGTGCCAGCCATTGGGGATAAGGGAGAAAAAAAAGTATTTTTTTTCACTCTGTTAGAGTTAACTATTTCTCATCCCTTTACAAATTAATGTATAAAGTCAAGAATGCTCCAAAACAAATATAAATTTTATTATTTAGCCACACATTACAGCTTTATCCAAAATTGGCACTTTTAAACAATTTAAACTTAGATCTGAAATGCTGTTCGTCTATTTTCAGGTGTTCTCTGTCTAAACTATAAGCTTTTAAGAACATGAATTAATTGAAAATACAAACCAATAGACTCTGGCAATTGCTGAAGTGAATTACTGGATAACAGTAGGTCTTGCAGGCTTTCACAACCTGAAATACCTTCTTCGACTACTTCAATGTTGTTTTTAGAAACATCCAAGTAGGTCAGCTGTTTCAAAGTGCCTATGAACTAATAGCAAGAGAAAATAATGTATTCTAGAAAGTGCAAGTTCAAAACAAAAAATCCAGCAGATTTGACAACATTCTCTCAAGTGTAATGCCAGAGGAAAAGAGAAAACCTATTTATAGTGCTGAAATACAATTTTATGCAAAATATCCAAGCTTTGTAATGAAATATTTTGTGCCGATACACACAGTTGATGTTCTTACACAAACCCCCGCCCGCGCCCCCCCCAAATTCTGCAAGTCTCTAAAGTCAGTCTCTGCAAATTCAACGGTTTGATCAGTTACTATGAATCAAGCAACTGAAGTCTATTCTAAAGCTTCAAACAGAGACAGATAACGTAAGGACATCATCAGGCTTCAGTAAAGTCCTTTAATGCTTATTTTCGCCTTTTGTGTGAAACTGCCTCCTACTTAACCTCAAAAACAACAATTAATCCCTAATTGTACTAAACTGAATAAATAAGCCAAAATATGAACTTGTATTACCTTTCCATATGAACCAAGAATAAGCTTGAAGATTTGTGCACACTACTGTACTAAAATCTTCATAGGAAAGATGCAGTCATTTTCACTACAGTTTTACTTTTACTGTAAAGTAGAAATGTTTAATACATCCACTCAGCTCTTCAAGGAAGAATTAACTGAAGTGAGGAAAGACAGTGAGGGACAAGTAGAGAAGACTACTGATCAGGCAAGAAAGCCTCACGTCAGAAGACTGCTAGTGATTTTAAGTCTGAAAACAGACGAGCTGTTGCCCAGATTTCAAACACTCATTTACTAGTTTACTACAACATAAGCACAGTTTTCACAAGTACTGCAGTAAAAGATCAGCTTGGATCCCATGTAATTCTGAGAGATGTCAGGAACATAGACTAAGTCAATAGAACATTTTCTCAGGAACTGGCTATGCTCCCTGTACACACAGCAGCTGAACAGGCATTGCTTGCTTTACGGCCATGACCAGTAAAAATTCACACAACATATTTTTCCTCTAAATTCATGCTTGCTGTCTAACACAAAATAATCGCTTTTTGGAAGGAGTAGTCAGCCCTAAATTTGATCCAGGATTTTTACCCCTTTCCTGAATTGGAACGTAATTTTTAGATGAGAGCTATATAACTTTCAATGAAAGAAAAGCTGTGTACCCAGCTCTCATGATCAGTGACAATTTCTAAGTAAACTAGTCAAGCACTTTAGTGCCAGTTAGCCTTTTGGCTTTAAGTAACATTAAAATTACACAGCAACTTTAACATATATGATGACTGACAAAGCAAGTACCACTGTAAATAAAAATACTAATGTTTAACACAGTAAAAGAACTTACCCCTGGAATAAGTGTTAGTCTATTACCATCCATCCAAAATTCCTTTAACCCACTCAGCTGTTCAAGTACTTCAGGCTGTAAAGCAAAGCCATTTTTAAAAAACTTCATAAAAAAAATAGAAAAAGGCAGAAAAATACTTCAGCAATTAATCTATTGCAACTTTAAATAATGTCTTCTTATAGCTGTTACATACACTTTCTTCACTGGGTCATCAAATAAAACTCAGATAATTCACTTATTGAAAAGTAATTATATGCTAGAGATACAAAAATCTTTTAAGAACTTGATCACAGCACTAAATAATCCCTACAGAAAGTGTTCAGTTTTTTTTTAACAGAAATTATTATTTTTCAATTGGAGCACACAATAAATAAATGTTATGTGTATAATTTCCTCCTTCATGGAGGAGGTCTAAAAACCTTTAAATTCCATCAACTCAGAGGACCTGTTTTTCAAAAACCACAATGATTTTGTGGTTTTGGGCAAAAGGGAAACAAGTTTTAATTTTCTAGCAACAAAAGGTGCATCTGCATGAAACAAGCGAACCACTCCATCCACAAAGTGAAGTGCAGGACTGTGCTTCCATTACAAGTTATTGTTAGAAGTATCTTATGTATCAGGGAAAGACCACATCTTGTTAAACATCCATGTTGCATATGCTTTCCTATTTAAAATTCCCTCCTGAGAAAGTAATACAGAACAGGTGCTACTACACCTGTCTAGGTGACAGGTGTAAAGTAGGTAAAGTAGAAGGTAAATGTAGAATTTAATTTTGTTATACTGTAAATATACAACCTGCATAAATATATATCCTGCATAAGTTGCAGTCCTGACTCCCAATAATTAATTTTCCAAGAGAAAAATCATAACTGAAGACAACCTTTCAAACAGATCTTTATCCAAAAAGCAGTTCCAAACCTTTTTGTGCTTTTATCAAAAGATCTTAATGAAACTAATCACCAGTAGTTGACTCTTGTAGCTAAAAGGCTGGGAGAGATGAAGCAATCAGCCAAAAATATACCCAAACAGGTAATTTTGCAGCCTATATTTAGTTCATGGCTGTTCTGGCTTAATGTGGGTCTGAGCATGTTAGTTTAAAGTTCCCACATGAGTATCTACCCTGTAATGGGAATATGGCAGTAATGGTAATGGCCAGAAATGTAATAATACTAATGAACAATTCCTTAAATACACTTCCTTATCTGCCAAACTATACAACTAGGCAAGTGTTCAGCTCTGCGTGATCTACTGGTGGCATACAAAGGTTTAACTTTATTATATGGCAGGTCAGTATGTTCCAGTATACTTCTATTCCAATTTCTTTATCCAGGAAAGTACTCGTAGAAGCAGGAAGATGTCAAGTGATTGCAAATGTAAGATGTATTCGCCTGTGAGATCATGAACAGGAAACAAGTCGATCCATGCTGAAGGAAAAATCTGAGCACCTCAACTGTAAATACCATTTCGAACAATATTCAAACTTAATATAGGATCTAAATAGTTCATACACAACAATAAAAGCAGTTATGCACAGCTTGTACATAACTTACAATATTACATACGTGATAAACAATAAGTCTTCAGAATTTATTATAAGCCAAACAATTATGTTTATAATTCAAACACATACTACGATTAATATTTTACTAGTACAGTAACCACAATATACCACAGAGTGTTACTTTGAAACTGAGGAAAAACATACTCATATTCATCAGAATATGCACATAACAGGCTCCATAAAGTAACATAAGGTATACATAATATTTGCTCAGTAGCAGAACTCTTAAGCTGATGTTTATATTTTCACATTGATTAAAAATAAATTAAAGGATAAAGAGATTTATAGAAGATACAAAACTCTGTTACTAAGGCAAAACTCACCACTTCTGTGAATTCATTACTTCCTAAGTCCAGTCTCTCCAGCTGAGTCAGTCTGGACATTGTTCTGCATGGGAAGGGGATTAGTAAGAAATTAGACTTAAGAAAACACGAGTTATAACCAATCTTCCTGTATTCATAAAAATATATTATTTTAACCAGTATTAAGTAGTGATGTTGTTCTGTTAATGGACTGATATCTAAATATGGTCAAATTTTTACACACTGTTCAACCAGGCACATATTAACAATCACACCAACTGTTGACTGTCACACAAAGAATACACTGCCACTCATCCACAGATGAGTTCACAAAAAGTAAAGACCACCAGAGTAATCTTTATAACTCAGTGAATCTTTAACTCAGTGAAGTTACTCTTGTTTTGAGCAGTTTCTTTTTTTGCAGCTTTTCACCTATAGTTACAATGTCTTCTCAGCAGCCAAAGGCTGGTTAACTACATGATTTCCACTCAAAGAAAGACCACTGCCTAAAGATCAGCTAAAACAGAAAAGACCAATGCTGAATCACAGTAACCAACCCCACCCTTCTCCAGGCTGCTGACAAAGTTGCTTCCACATGATATGATCTGGAATCCTAATTATTTCGCTAGTCCTACGATAAATCAGATTACTAAATTGGATTTTGTGACACATCAATACTCTTTAAGCCAATTTATGACAAAGATTAAATCAATGACTGAAATAAAGAAAAATCTATTATTTCAAGCTGTGTTTTGGCCACATTTTTCCTCTATTTAAGTTCACTTTGAAGACTCCACAGAGATGATCTACCACTGCTTGTGGTGGTCTATGTAATCGGTACTCCAGTCAACAGCAGTACTATCTAAAAATATTTTCAAAGGGGCTTGATTTTTATTTGAACTGAATTTTCAGCTTAGAAATAAACACAGATTTTAAGAGTGAAGGGAAAAAAAAAAAGGTAACACCAACAAAATGAAAAAAGTTCAATCTCATTTAAGTGAATTTTTATGAGGCTGAATTGAAACAAAGTCAGATGGGTTTTTTACGGCAGCTTGAGATGACTAGAATTTTTTCTTTAATTCAAATAATTTTTTTATTTTAATGGTTTGGTAAAGATACACACACACAAAAAACCCAATCTCCCAAACCAACAAACTCCAAGGTCTGAGTCTTTTTTTTTTTCTTCCTCCTGTACATCATTCAACTTTGAGGCCACACGGTCTACACAGTTAACACCAGATTTACAGAAACTAAGCAATAAAGTTCCTCTCCTCCCTCCTGCCAAATTACAGTAGATACACAAATTCTACTCCAGCCCAACCCAAGATCTAGGTGCTCCCTTCCCATCCGGCTAGTGCTACATCCTTAACAGCTCTAAGGTAACCCCAAAATTGCCATTCTTGCCTTAGTCTTCATTGTCTTACTAAAAATAAAATAATGTAAAAATACTGAACAGTTTTCATCAAGAGTCCTGGTGCTACCATTTGGAACCAGAGTAAGTATCTGCAAATTGCTCTCAAGTACCTGCAAAATTAACATTACGTAACGCTGACAGTATAACAAAGTAACTTCATTGATTTGGGGCCCTTTTTTTCCTTGTTAAATGTCTATAATCTAGCAAACATATCCACTCAACTGTAGAACAAACACAAATATGTGGAGAAACTGGCAGCTCATGGCTTGGACAGGCATACCCTTCGCTGAGTAAAAAACTGGCTGGTTGGCCGAGCCCAGAGAGTGGTGGTGAATGGAGCTAAATCCAGTTGGCGGCCGGTCACAAGTGGTGTTCCTCAGGGCTCAGTGTTGGGGCCAGTTCTGTTTAACATCTTCATTGATGATTTGGATGAGGGGATCGAGTGCACCCTCAGTAAGTCTGCAGACAGCACCAAGCTGGGTGGGAGTGTTGATCTGCTGGAGGGTAAGAAGGCTCTACAGAGGGATCTGGACAGGCTGGATTGATGGGCTGAGACCAACCGTATGAGATTCAACAAGGCCGAGTGCCGGGTCCCGTGCCTGGGTCACAACAACCCCATGCAACGTT